ACGGAGCTCCTCTGAAGACGAAACCCACAACTGTGGTATTCACATCTGCGTATTGTTGGTTTCTTCGCCAGGGCAGTGATATTTTTTCTACTGTCCGTGACGGCTTTTCGCGCTCGTTTGACTATCGGTGGCGATTTCGTGCTATTGTTGGCTGCTCTTGACATGTTTTACTCTTCTGTCAAAACCCGGCTGTCGGGGGACACGCCCGACCCAGGCTTGGTCATTGGATCCCGCTGGGGGCCTGAGGTGGCTTGGCATTGGCTCCGGCCAGCAGGAGAGGCGCGCGCATCCTCACAAGCGGGTTGCACCGTGCCGGTGCCGGTGCCCTCCTCCTCGTCTCCGCCCGCTTCCCTGGGCCTCCCCAGGGGGGCTCCCGCCGCGGCCGCGGGGCTCGCCTCGAAGCGCACCCCCCAGCCAGAACGCGCGCCCCAGGGAGGTGTCTGGGGAGCACAGCAGGGTCGCGGTTGCCCAGAAGCGGTCGATGTCGGGCGACGTGTGATTTCGTTCAAGGTTGGAACCATCCACGCGGTGTCGCAAAGCAACGCTGGCGTTGTTGCGACGTTATCCCCGGATGACCCGTACCCGTATCTGTTTGTATCCCCCAGGAAGAGCCGACGGCGCCAGCGGCTGCTCCGCCGGCGCCGCCGACGGAGCTGCAAGTAGTTTGCGCACAGCCTGGGCCGCAGACTGCCGTTGAGTGACGGAGTCCACTGCTTGATGATCGGGCCATGTCCTTCTGTCCAGGGCTGCTGCCTGGCTTCGACTGCTTCCTTGCCGCAGGACAGGGTGATGGCTGCAGTTTTCCCGTTTACATGTTGAGCTCTAGTTTTGCCCTCACAAGCTTGTCGGTGAGTGCTTTGACCTGGCAATTCTGCCGGACCTGCCATGGTTTGTTATAAATATGGATCACACGTTTTGCTATCTAGGCGAGCTTCAATCATGGGCGGGTACGGACCGCCTTACGACCGTCTGCTCTGGAGGAGCAGGAGGAGGAGGAGGAGGAGGAGAAGCGGGAGAGAGGGGGGGGGGGGGGGGGAAAAGGGGGCGAAAGACGTGGCGGAGGAGGAGCAGTAGGAGGAGGAGCAGATTTATAGCGAGGGTGAGAATCAGCATGGGGACGACGCTGTTTGCGACCAATTGCAAGTTCGTCCTGCGACAGAAGTCAGTCGTTAGACTGAGCGAAAGTTCCAGCCCAATCTGGGCCGCCGTCCTAATTCGCGCGCCTCCCCATCCTCTTCTTGTCCTCTGTGTCCTCAGACTTGTCTGCCCTTGCGCTCTTCGCGTGCGTTGGCACCGAAAGTTGGTCGTTTCGCGCCAGCGACGATGCCATCCTTGTTCTTATTTCGGGCTCGCCGTGCCGCCGTCTTGGTTTAGAGTAGGGGATCGACTACATAATGATTTACTTCCCCTTTTTTGCTGGCGAAACTACGAGCATGACGATGTATAACATTCGTATATCGAGGAACATTGTACGTATTTGTCGTACACGTGACGAGACGATCGACTTGGAGGTAAATCAAATGTGTAGTCGATTCCCTACTCGATGGTTACGCGCGGTGAGAGCCGTGGTCCACCTACGCTCGATCACGGTCGCGCCGATCATAAAGAACCTTGCTTCGCTTGCTCAATCCAGCGTTTCTTCGGCAGTTTCCCAGGTTCCCCTTCCTCCTCCCCGCGCGCGGGTGTCTGCGCTGGAGGAATAGGATTAGGATGGGGAGGCGGGAGAGGAGAAGAGGGATCTCGAGGATGAGGGTATCAGCTAGCCCACATTGCATCAACGCGGATGTCGTCTAATCACAAGGCGATGCGAGCACGTTTCGTTTTCATTGCGGCAAGCGCACCCTCGAACGATGGACGCTCTGCGCCCTAACCGTATGTCATTCTGGCGAGTCCCCCTTTTTGAAAAGGAAGCGCCCTTTACCCTTCTAGCTGTCACCATTGCCAGGAGGCAGGACCGCAGGCCAAAGGAGTCGGCCGACAGTCTCTCGATCCGTGTGCATCTGATGTCTTGGAGCAGTGTGGGCGATACCGTCTCAGGAACTGCCCAGCGAAGGCCCTGCTTTGAGAAGAAAGCGCCCTCCATCCGTGAAGCCTCTGCGGAACCTTGCATTTGCGGTGGGGAGCTTTTGGATACCGTGTTGCTCTGCTGGTTCTGACCTAACTCGCTTCGGCGCGACACGCTATCCATGTCCCAGTTCCCAGGCTATGTAAAGGTTCCTGACCGTAGACTTCAGGATGTCTCACACGACAGCCTCATCTGCAAAACGATCCGCCCTTCATCCGTTCAAATGTGGGAAGACCCTGCCGTTTGTCTGTGCGTGGATCTGCGACGAGAGCAACATTTTTCACACCACATTGCCCCCCTCCGTGCTGTTGCTGGTTGCTTGCCAGACGAATGTGCGCGGCGCAAGGGCCAAACCCGCATCTGGAAAAACCTCGCCACCTCCATCCGTTTACCAACCATTGAAGCCTGTCAATCAAGTAGCTCGAAGAACAAACAACTGAATAAGCATAATTTTTTGGAGCCTGTTAGTTAAGTAGCTCGAAGAACAAACAACTGAATAAACATACACTTTTGGGGTCCATGCGGATTCCATGGATCTGCGCCGGCCCCCCTTGGCGGTGCTTTCGGCGCCGCCCCTGCCCCTGGCGCGCTCCGCGCGCCCGGGAGGGGGGTCAAACGACGTTTGCGCGAGAGCTGCAATGTTGAACGCCACCCGCCCTCCGTCAGTGCGTCTGCCTATGTGGCCGTTCAAGCTTCGGGGTCCTAAATGGCGGGTGGCGTGGCTGGAGCGATGACGGGGGAGCGCCCGACACGCCCTCAGTGGTGTGACGAGGAGGGGTTACGTAGCAGCTACTTGGACCAAGCGTTTCCAGTCGACCCACCAAGATCGCTCTGTTGATGCTTCAACAGAAGAGCATTGGTGGCAGCTTTTGACGCTGGCTGGGCCGAAGCCCCTTCGACCCAGATGCTCAACGAGGATCAGGTCCTCGTGGCTGCATGTGGTGCTACCGCGGCGTGGATTGGGATTAGTGTTTCTTCAAACGTCCACTATTTGGTTGCTGTTTCACGATGCGTTCACGAACGATCTTCGTAACTCCACTCAGCATCATCCGAACTGGCTCAGTGGTGCTTGTTTAACTCTGTATCTCGGGATGGATGTGTTGATTCTGTTTGGTGGCGGCCCATTCCGCCACCGTGCCTGGGTTGTTGGCCAAATACCTATTGGATGCCTACCGGGATCTCACAAGAGGCTTTTCGGAAGCCGAGTGGAGGCACTCCTGTGGTGTCTTGGGGCCTCTCTTTGGCCTCTAGGGGGCCTCGGTGAGGCCTCTTTCAAGCATCTTTGAGGCTTTTCGGCTCATTGGGTACCTCGGGGGCCTGATGGCCGTCTCGGGGGCCATCTTGTGGCGGAGGGGATCGACATTTCAGTTCGTGCTCCCCCTCTTGGGCCCCTGTTGGGGCTCTCTTCGGCCGCCTTCGGGTCCTCTTGGGCCGTCGTAGGGTCCTCTTGGACCGTCTTGGGGACCACTCGGGGCGTCACTGGGAACGCTCCGACATGCATTTCAAGTTCGTGTACCCCCTCTCGGGCCCCTACTGGGGCTCTCTTCGGCCGCCTGAGGGGGCCTCTTGGACCGCCGCTTAGGCGTCTTGGGGACCTCTCGGGTCGTCGCCGGGAACGCTCCGACGTGCTAGACTTTGCAAGAGTCTCGCTCTTCCTCCCGCACATGCCGACAAGGTCGGCGGATTGGCAGGAGGGGAGAGAGGGGGAGGGGCAGGAGGTGCGGCCGGGAGGCGTGGCGAGGCGGAAAGGATAATAAGAAAGAGAGGGGAGTTGGGACAGGCAATAAGAACAAGGACAAGGAGAAGCATCATGAGTGGGAGTGAGAGAAGGGAAGGACAGGGAACTGAGAGAGGCCTGCTGCTCTGGAGCTCCACCTGTAACAAGGAGCCCAGAAGCCCCCTCGCGCCCCAGCCCCCACCTTATCCATCCTCAGCCTCCCCTCCTCCTCCTCCTCCTCCTCCTCCTCCTCCTCCTCCTCCTCCTTCCTCCCACCAGCCCTCCTCCTCCCCTCTCGTCCTCCTTTGCTCCCCTGGAGGCGGCGGCACGGGCAGGAGCGCCCAAGCGCCGCGACCGCCGATCCGCGAGCCTCGCTCCTCAGGAAGACTCGGGGACGGCAGAGAGGGGTGTGACGACCAGGAGGGGGGGGGATATCGTGGCGGGGGCCATCAGATCTCCCAACACTTCATGGCGCCTCTTCCTGCTTCGCTACGTCCCTGGCCCCCCTCCCTTTGGGCCGCGCGCGTGCCGCCAGCCATGAGTTGCGCCCCCCCCCCCCCCCATCTTGGACGCCCCCCTCTTGACCGCCCCCGAGCACGGGCGGGAGCGCCCAAGCGTCGCGACCGCCGATCCGCGAGCCTCGATCCTCAGGAATACAACTTCAGAGCCCCGAATCATCAGGGGTAACTCGGGTCAGGGCTAACTCGGGTTCGTTTGTCGGGAGTCCAAGCCCGAGATACCCCAGACCCGAGTTGCCCTGGATAGCTCGGGCGCCCAACAACTACCGGGTCGGGAGAGTGGGGCTGGGAGGAACGATCAGGTCGTCAACGTTACCGCACACAATGAGGGTGCCTGTCACGCAGCCGTGCCCTGCATCTTCCCGACCCTCCTTCTCCTCCCAACACGATACCTGTGCTCCTGAGACCCTCCCTGGGAGTTGGCCAGTCGGGGAGTCGGCCACTCCCCGACTCCCCTACTCCCCGACTGGATCCCCCACGCCCCGATGGGCAGTCGGAATACTTCATTCCGGTACCTCAGAAATCTTCCTACTCCCCCAGGACCGGTGCTTCCTCCAGAATCGTCTTAAGGACGGCCCCGAGGCCTAGGAAGGGACCCCGGAGGCCGACAACAGCGAGACACCTCCCGTCGTGCTTTCTTCCCTGCGCGGGGAAGTTTGGGGCCCCTGCCTCCGCTGCCCTGCCTCGTCTGCCCCCCCAGGTCAGCACGGCTCGGCTGCGGTCGAGGGCGCTGAAGGGCAGGAGCTAGCCAGGGCCGCATCGCCGCGGGCGCGCGGTAAAAAAACACACGTGCGCCACCCGCTCTTCTGCCGTGGCCCTCATCCTCCTACTCTCCTCCTCTTCCGCTCCTCCTCCTCCTCCTCCTCCTCCTGTTCATTATTTCTTCGTCTACTACTATTACTCCTTCTCTTCTCCTCCTGCTCCTCCTCCTCCTCCTCCTTCTCCTTCTCTCCTCCTCCTCCTCCTCCTCCTCCCCCTCCTCCTCCTCCTCCTCCTCTCCTCCTCCTCCTCCTCCTCCTCCTCCTCCTCCTCCCGTAGCCATTTTGGCTCAAGCGTGCCAGCGCACGCGCGAGCGGGCATCCTCACTCTCGAGGCTTTCTGGTGCGTCAGGCGCCAGCGGACATACCCTTACCCAGTAATTCCTAACCCTTAGATAAAACGAAACGCACAGTGCACGCGCGATGGCCGCCCGCGGTCGTGGCGGTGCTGATTCTGCTGCTGTCTCTGACGAGGAAGCGGCTCGCGACCCCAACGAGAAGAGCCGCAGCGGGGAACGCGCCCGAGGCCGGCGGCCCCGCGCTGAGGCCAAACAGGATCCTCTGGCCGAGCGGGATCCTTGGAGCGGAATGGCTGCCCAGCGTGGCCGGCCCTCCGGGGAGCCCCCTGGCCCCGCCGCGGGAGGGTCCTCAGGGAGCGCTGGCGCTGTGGTTCAAAAGCACATGGACGCCCTCTCGGAGAAAATCCGCGAGTACATGGCTGAGCAGTTTACCACCGCTATGGACTCGGTTCGCGAGGAGCTCGACGCAATGGTCGAAGATAACTTGCTCCCCAAGCTGCCAGGCTCGAGGAACATGCTACTGAGATTGCTCAGATCAAGGAAAAGAGCGCTAACCTGGAGAAGGAGCAAGCGGGGCTGCAGGCCGCGGTCAAGGAGCTGCAGACCACGCTGGCGGTGGCGGAGGCGCAGGTTGCGGCGCCGCTGGACCCAGCACGCCTTGCCGATTGGCACAGGACGGCTGACACTGCCCTCTTCGTCCTCTCCTGTCAGGCCCCCGCCGCACCAGGAGAGGTCAAGTCCGCCATTTCGCAATGGCTCCAGGCCGCCAAGGTCACCGAGGACCAGGTCACGCTCCTCGGCGACCTCCCGTCGAAACGTTTCCACCTCCACTGCCCTGGTGGCGCTGCGGGCGTTGCCCGCGCTGGGGCACTCCAGGCTGCGCTCAAGCTACCAGGCGGACAATGGCGTCGATTTGACGTGCTCTCGGTCAACGGCCAGCGCGTCACCATGTACACGAATGCCGACAAGAGCGCGGAGGACATCCGTAAGGAGGTGCAGACGAAGAAACTGTCGGGCCTCATCATGGCTGCGGTGCCCAGCAAGGACTGCTGGGCGCGCCGATCGAAGGGCCTTGTCTACGTGGACTCTGTGCCTATCGTGGAGGTGCAGGTGCGTGGCCCCGACGAGGCCTCCCGACTGGCCTGGGACGGGTCCGCCACCGCCCGCCTCGGCATCGACAAGCAGGCCATTACGAACCAGTTCCAGGCACTCTGGCGCGAGGTCGACACCTCTGGATGGGACTCTTCCTAGCCTCCGGTGGGCTCCGTGGGAGGTCGGGGCCGCTACCCGTGGGCTCTCGGTGGTGACGTGGAACGCTCGCGGCCTGCTCCTCCGTGCCGCCGCCAGGAGGCGGCGGAAAGTGAACATGGTCGTAGAGCACCTTCGCCAGCGCTCCATTGTGCTGGTCCAGGAAGTTCACGGCTTCACCGAGACGCTCCAGAACTACCTCAACCAGTACAGCATCCACTACAATATGTATAGCTCTACGACCGGTCGTCCGGGGGCTGGCGGGATCGCCATTTTGATCCCTTGGCACGACCATCACACTATTGCCGCTGCTGGCACGGCGGCTCTCCCTCAGATCCAGAGCCGCGAGTTGGAGCCAGGGCGCGCTGCCGTTACGACGATCACCAACCCCAAAACGCAGTGCGCCATTTAAATCATGAACATCCACAATTATGACCTCACCGAGCTTGGGAAGGATCGCATTCGGCGAGCGTGGCGGGATGCTGCGCACTGGGCGCACGAGGACCCTATGAAGAGGACCTTCGTTGCAGCTGGCGATTATAACATGACCGATGTGCCAGCGGAGTCTCTTTTGTACCCTCGGCCGCGTCAGGCCCAACGGTCTGACGCCAGCAGGGCCAATCGATCCGAACCACTCTGGAGAGGTATGTTTGCCAATCCCAACATGCTTGAGGTGTGCTCGCCGCTCCCCGCCCACTTCGCGAAGGACTCGGGGACGCTGCGCACGATTGATCGGATCTTCGTCTCACTCGCATCGTCTTTCGCGCTGGAGACCGAGTGCGACCTCCAGCTGGTGCACGACGCCGTGGCGCTGGACGCGCAGAACCTCAGCGACCACGCAATCCTCAAGCTTCGCATGAAGACCAGGCAGGCCACGCCCAAGGGCGAGAGGAAAATCCCAGCTTTCATTTTCAAGAGCCCTGAGTACAAGCGGATCCTCGCCAACTGCCTTGATGGTTGTCGCATCGAGTTCAGGCCTGTTTTTGAACAGTGGCGCGACGTCAAGGCCATGATGACGCTCGCCGCGGAGTTCGCTCGGAACGAGCTGCAGTCCAAGGCGCTGGTGGTCGACAGCGACAGTTGGCGGCACGCGCGACTGTTGACCCTCAACTCGGTCGCCAGGGCCGTCTGGCGGCAAGACGTTCGACTGGCCAGGAGGCTCATGCATGATGCGCCCATCGGTGCCGCGGAGCTCGAGCTCGTCGACGGCACCGTGCAGTTGAAGAGGCCTGGCGACTTCCACGCGCACGTGCGGGAGGCGCAAGCGCAACTCCTGGAACGGGAGACGGCGGCGCTCGTCGACAGTGCCAGTGGGGCACGCCGGCGGACGGCGGAAGTCATGATCAAGCGAGCGCTGGTGGAACCCCACCAAGCGCGCATTGGTGCTTTCGGTGATCCGCCACACGCAGCCTGCCGGGCAGGGAGGCAGCGCAGACGCAGTAGCTAGGGAACCTGAGTCCATGATCGCAGGAAGATCAGATCGGGCCGTTTCTTGATCGTCATATGCCTCGTTTCGATAATTATTTCCTCCCTCTTCCCTCCCTCTCCGACCTCCGCCTTGCCTTGAGGCGGCCCCGCGACTCCGCGCCAGGGCCCGACAGGCTTCCCGCGCGAGCATGGCGAGCCCACCCGCTTCTAACAGAAGTGCTGCATGGCGTAATGTGTCAGATGGCAGACGGTTCCCCGCCACCTGCCGGTTTTAATTTCTGTCTTCTCGCTTTTCTCCCGAAAAGGGGAGGAGGTCGCTGATTTGGTGGAGTGCGCGCGGACCCCGGGCTGCACCCGCCCATTAGCTTTGAAAAACTCAGACAGCAAGGCGGTCGCAGCGGCACTGAATCTTCACATTTCGGGCGTCGTGTCGAAAGACGCCCATGGGGCCCAAAAGGGATTCGTCCGTGGGCGGCGCTTCGGTGAGCATATCATCGCGCTCGGCGCTGAATCTAGGCGCGCGGGACACCTTCCTCAGGCTGCCACTCGGCTCCCTGGGTTGCTGAGCTTTGATGTTAAAGCCGCTTTCCCAAGCATGTCTCAAGTCTTCCTCCGCCGTGCTGTCGAATGCTTCGCCCTCCCTGCACCCTATTTGTCGTTGCTCGATGGGCTTGCTCATGATACTATTGGGCACGCACGTGTTGGGGAACAGCTGGGGGCTCTCTTCCCGATCACATCGGGCGTCCCCCAAGGGTGTCCTCTGTCAGGAAGTCTGTGGGCGTTGGCGTTCGACCCCTGGATCCGGTGTTTGTGCGAGGCGTTTCCTACGGAGGACGAGGGGACCCTTGGCTGCTGGGCTGATGATGTAGGTGCGGTCACCATGGATATATGCAGGACTTCGCACCTTCACCGCACATTCCAGAAGGCTGAGGAGCTCGCTGGTCTCGACTTGCAGCCGCAAAAATGCTGCTTCGTGCCCCTTTTGGGCGGACTGCGACGAGACCGTCCGCGAGCAGGCTCGCGCCGCCCTTGCACTGCACGCTCCCGGCTGGGAGAGTTTCAAGATCGAGGGGGCTGCCAAATACCTCGGCGTCATCCTCGGGCCTTCGGCGGACCTTCCGATACAATGGAAGGGCCCTGGACAAAAATGGTGGGGCAGGGTGCGGGAAGTGGCTTTGTCCAGGGCTCCTTCTGAGGCCTCGTTGCGACTTTATCTCACGGTTATCCTCCCCTGTCTCTCCTACGTTGCTCAGTTTTTCTTTCCTGACCCCACGCTTTTGGCGAAGGAGGGACAGGCTCTTCACAAACCACTGCGGTTGCCTCCTAATTCGTTCCGGGTCGCCGAGCTGATGGGCGTCGGGAGGTGGTTGCCCAGCGCTGCTCCTATACCCGTCAGCGTGTCTTGCCTTGCCGCTGCGTGGAGAGCCAGCCAGTACACGTTTCGGGGGTGGAGGGCTTGGCGGGATCGGCTTCGCGATGCGGCTCACAACCACGGATTCCTAGTGGATTTTGTTCGCAATGTATGGTCTCCTAGGTTTTGGGTTCGGCGTCAGAGCATTGCCGAATATTATGCCTCCTTCGACTGCCCGCCCAACGATGGTAGGGTTCCGAGGCAGGCGTTTGAGCGGGCGAAGGCCGCTGCACTTGCTTTTGAATGTGATAACGTGCCCCGCTCCGGGAAGACAGGGGTTCGTCCTCAGACGGCCTTCCTCCGCTCGTTATGCTCCTCCCTCTACCCCGACGTGATCCTTGATCTTCTGGAGCGGCGTTTTCGCAAGTGGTTCCCCGATCGGCCCGCTTTGGGACGACCAGAGCTCGAAGAACGCTGGGCCAGGCTTCGAGACGTCCTCAAGGCGGCGGCTCCGTCACGGACATGGGCCCATTTAAAAACGCTCGCAGGGGCCTGGATCACGTCAGCCCGCGTGGGGATACTCACGCCTAAGGGTTGCCAGTTCGGGTGCTCCCAGGATTGTCTGGGCATCGAGGTCTGCGCTCCAGATTCGATCGGGCACTATTTATATTGCCCCCGGCTCTCCCACCTTCTCGCTCTCCCTCGTGCCATCATTCCTAACGACCCGGTAGTCCGATTAGGGCTTGGCCCTGCCTCCGCGTACAATGTAGACAGGGAGTACGATCCCATCTCCCTTGAGCGTGCGCACTATTTAACCGCTCTGTCATTCCATATCTACCATAAATACCGTGCTGAGCTTCAGCAACATCCACGTTTACATGGCACTTACACCTCGACATTGCGTGCGAGGCACGCCGCGATTGTCGCTCTTGGCTGATGCTGACGGACGGTGTCCCCCCAGGCGACGTGCTCTCCTCCTCCTCCTCCTCCTCCTCCTCCTCCTCCTCCTCCTCCTCCTCCTCCTCCTCCTCCTCCTCCTCCCCCTCCTCCTCCTCCTCCTCCTTTTCCTCCTCCTTCTCATTCTCGCTTCCTGCTGCTCCTCCTCCTCCTTCTGATTCTCTCATTCTCCTTCTCCTGCTCCTCCTCCTCCTCCTCTCCTCCTCCTGGCTCCTTCATCACCGAGGTTCGAGGAGTCTTTTTTCTTGTGTATGTTTTTCTGCTTGTTTGTGTTTTGTGGGTTTCGTCTCTGCCCCCCCAAGAACTCTGGAGGCCTTCGCGGGCCTTCGGGGGACCTCCCCCTCCTCTCCGTCCTGCTCTTGCGCTCGCTCTTCCTCTTCCTCAGGTCTCAGTGCTTTCCTTCTCCTCCTCCTCCTCCTCTTCCTCCTCCTCCTCCTTCTCCTCCTCCTCCTCCTCTTCCTCCTTCTGCTCCTTGTTCGAGCACTTCGAGGCTTGGTTGCTGCTGCTGGTGTTTCGCCCTATCCCACGCCCCTACCCACGCCCTGTCCCACGCCTTACCCACGCCGTTCCCCACGTCCTATCGGACGCCTTACCCTACGGCCAGTTCGTGCACCCAGTATTCTACCTGCAAGCCTTGCCGATGTGCGGCGGGGTGCTTTGGGTGCAGGCAGAGCTCATGGTGGCCTGTGTGCACTGGCCAGAGCCTTGCCACCGGGACGGTCGCCAGCTGCTTGTGGATATCTCGGACTTGCCGTTGTAGGTGATGGCAGTGGTATTGTTCCACCTGGGGGTAAAGCCTCTGGGCCAGGAGGGCCTACCCGCCGACGTTCATCGACGACCGCTTCGTTCGAGGAGCCTTCGAACGGTCTGTCCAGTCCTGGGTGTCCGCTCTCCCGTCTAGCATTGTGGTGTCTGCGCAGCTCTCTATTCAAATTCGCCGCAGGGATGCCTCGGACCCGGATGATGTGGATGACATTGAGATGGGGTGTCCCGAAGAAGTGCTTGGCGACGACGACTCGGACGGTGTCGATCAGCAGCGGGTTGACTCGCTCTCTGCTGCACCTGATGCGGGTTTCAGCGGAGCAGTACACACAAGAGCTACTATTAGAGATGTGCGGTATGGCCAGAGCGACTGCTTTCGGTGTTGAGCCGGTGGCAAATTCTGCTTCAGCCTCTACTTTGACCGCGGCAACCAATCCTTCGACGCCGAGGCCGGCGCCGAGTTCGACGCCGAGCGCGGCCTCTGCGAAGGGGGATTCCCATCTGGTCGACGTCTATGGCCGGCGGTTCGACCTGTCGTAGCCTGGTCTGCATTCCCTGTGTCGTGTTCCAAGTTTGCCGAGGCGCTTTGCACACTTCTGGGCATCAACGCAGACGTCCAGAGGCCTGGGGCAGTTTGCGCAGACATGCAAGCCCGGTCCATCAGCGTGACAGGCACGTGGGCCTCTGCGCCCGAGCACCCAGCTGGCATCTCCTTCTCGGCCGAGAAGTCGGCACAACACCTCGTATGCCAGAAGCTCGGCCAGGTCAAGCGCCTTCTGGCTCGACGCGCGGCCTCGCGTCTTGCGGAGCGTGCCTCGGCCACCACGGCAAACTCCACTCGGACGCACAGTTTGCCGTGAGGTTCGCCGCGGTGCTGGCTTCGTCTTCTTGGGCGTGGAGCGAAAGACCTGCCCTGGGTTTGCCGTGGCCTCGGCGTCGTCCAACTGGGCGCGTCGAGAACAACCGGCCCGGCGACAGGCGATGCAGGGCCTCACCGAGAGCGTTATCGCACATCTCGACGTCCTCATCCGGAGCCTGTCGAAGATGGAGTGTATGTTCGGTGGGCTCCTCGGCGGCGATAAGCACACCGAGGCATCCAGGGTCGACCCAACTACCGCACCAGTGTCGGATACTGAGGCGAGGCACTCGACGAGAGCTGCAGGCAGGCGTTTTAGCCAGCTTCCGTTCCTCGCTTCGGAAGACACCGTCTCTCCTTTCCCCCGTCCACTTCTATAGCAGGGTTCGTCACTCGGCTTCCCCTCCCTCTGGATAGGCCAGCTTACGTCGAGCAGCCCCTCCGCAGATGTCCATGAGATCGGGACCTGCTGCTCATCATGCTACCTGCGCTTATCCTTGGTAGCTGCAAGGCGTGTCTACAAGACAGAACTGTTGCTGGACACTCCATTGAACCGTCGGACTGCTCCTGCTCTGTATCCTTTACACATAGGGTTAAGTCGGCCCTGTCCCTCCACAGGGGGGCTGTTCAAAAAAATAGTCAAAAAATAGTCTGGGGACGATGTTTGGAGTATTTGTCGACCCTTTGGGAATCTTTTTCTGCTACTTCTGATTCTTCGTCCAAGGTCCCCTCTGTGAGGGGACAGGCCCGACCTGAACGTGTGGGGCCCTTGGCACAGCGGGGTCGCGCCTGACTGGCAGGCCCACGGGGCCTCCGTCTGTCACGGGGGGTCGCTCCCCCCCCCCCACCAGTGCCACTGCACTTCCTGCAGGGCCACGTGCGGGTAGAGCCAAAAACCCTAAGCAGGACGCGCGACTTTGCTCACGGTGCCCTCGCGTCCTTGCTCTTCCTGGCTCTTGCCTCCTTGGGGTTTTCGTCGTCCGCCGCCCCAAAAATCCCAACTTCGGCTTCCAAGGGTCTTGCGTCCTTGCCGCGCGTCCTTATTAGGGTTTTTGATTGTAGAGCCAGGACCCCAGATACGGTGGGGGC